TTAAATAAACACAAACAATAGTTAGTATTTTAAACTTACGCTTCAAGTTCTTGTTTCATTTTATCATATTCTTCTTTTGTAAGAACACTTTCACTATCACTTAACTTTTGTAATTTAGCACGAGACGCATCAAAATCAGGCCGTGGTGGAACTGGTGGAATCTAAATATCAATAACAAAATGAGTGATATAATAAATCGAATCAATCAATGTATAAAAATCACTATTATTTTTGTTTTTCGTGCTCATCATAATCTGAATTAGTATCTATCTTCTGAGCACATTTTGGAATGCAAAAATTATCCTTTAACATTAAAAAACTCGAGCAGGAAATCAAATTAGCGAAAACTGTACATTATTTCGTATTTTTTATGAAAAGAAAGTATAGAAATACCACTCGTGAACAAAAAGATTATTTCAATCAAACAAGAAGAGTTTATTTGAGTATTTGAATGCTATATTTTAATGTTTTTGTTAAGAAAACGATTACTTTAAAGGCAATTCTAATCATTTGATCGAATAATTTCTTTTTTCCTTTGATTTATGGTGTGAAAGTCTTAGTACAAAACTTAAAGACAAGTGATAAAAGCCAGGAGAGCAATTAGTTAGAATCAGATTTTTTTTGCTCCTTCATAATATGTATTCAGAATTTCTTTCTAGGGTAAAATTGAACAACTACCATGCAGATAATGTTGAGTTGAAGTTGTTTCAAACCACAGACTAAGGACAACATCAAAACCACTATCTATGCTTTTAGATATGCACTTATTGACTTCTAGTACAGAAGTCGAAAGAGCGGAAGTCTCTTAGTATTAGCATTTATTTCTAAATATCATCTCGATTTAATAGCGAATATATTAGATTTTTAAGTTTTTCAAATAAGTAATGAAATCATTTTTTTTTTAAATACTTACAATTAAACCTGCATATTCTTCATTTTCATTAAAACGATCATGTAACCAAATAAATTCTTCATGTTGACGTGAAACATTAAATTCTGATTCTTGAAATGCTGGTAATTTAGTCTGTTGATAATTAATTAGAAACATTAAGTAAATAATAACTAATTTCTTACTTTTGTATGAACAGTAAATTTAACTTTTTCTTTTTCACTTAAGGCATCCGAAATATCAATTTGAAGATCATTTTCATTAAGATCAACCGTATCAGCACGTTGCTAGTTTATAACAAAAAAAAAAGAAGTTTAAATAAAGAACTTACATAGAAGTAAATTATCTACCTTATTGCTGGCTACTTCGGTACTACTAGCTGCTTCCTACAAAATAAATATTTATATTATCTTTAACGTATTTTAAATACTTACAAGCATCGATCTAATTTTTTTTTGAAGATTAGCTAATTAATTTATATCTAAAAGAATAGTATAAATTCATTCGGATGATTCGATATTTGCTAAAGTTTGTTCGTATATTTATAGAAAAAAAAAAGGACTTTGTTTTTCATTTTAATGAGTCCAATGTTTTTTTTTTTTTTTTATTCTCTTATAATCAAAACAATATATTGTAATGAAAACTAATCTAAAATAAAATTTGAAAAAATTCTAATTACAAATTTTAACATAAATTCTTACTTTCAAAAGATGTTGATTTCATTTTCTGCTCTTGTTAGTCACTCCGTTATAATAATAAATCTGTGTACAAAGGCATGAAAAAACAACACATACTGATAACACACTCAGTTTTATCTTTTATATATATATATGTTATATAGTAACAGAGAACGAAGGTTTGTTTTAACAAAAGAAACAAAAAAAATGAAGAAGACTAACTAGAAAAAAATGAAAATAATTTTCTATGGATATTGTCGTCGATCACGTTCTTCATCTGGTATATGACTCATATTCCACCGACGTTGATATGGTTCATAGATTTTCCATCGTGAATCAACAAGATGAAGATTTTTTTTATATTTATTATCACACATTTTATCAAGAATTTTACATCGACGATTAGCTGCCATTACATGCATATCTTCACGTTGATTTTGTTCATCAGGTTTTTTAAATGTAAATAAACGTCGTTGTTTTTGTGGATGAATATAACCACCCCAAGCAAGACGAAAAAAACGTTCTTGTACATGTGGGGAACCTTGATGTTCACCAATATCATTTGCATTAAGTTGGGGAATAAAATTTTTATTTTCTTTATATTTAAGCCATGTATGTGTTTTAGTACGATACGGAATTACATTTAATGAAAGAGAACAACGTGTGAGAGGTAATAATAAACGATTCATCTAAAATAATAATGAAATAGATTATCATCTTTTGCTAAATACTTTCCAAGATTAGTTTGAGAATAATTCGACGTAATCAAAAGATCTTCAAGACTAATTTTAATTTCGACATAAATAGGACGGTGGACTTAGAATTGATAAAAAGTAGTCTAGTATTTCAATTTTACTAGCAATGGTAAAAAAATTTATATGAATCCTCTATTGACAGAAAAGATTCATCTTAATAGTGTTAATTCTATGATTAATGAATGTAAATCTAATTTCAGAATGAATTTCAACTTGTACTATATCAATTATAATTAAAGCGGACGAGAGAAGATCCTGAGATGATTAAACACTTTTGAGCTCTAGTTGTAGAGAATCGATAGACTAGAATACTCTCTAAAGAATTTGTATTGACGTTAAGGTTTGGTCTGGATATTGACTTCTTAGTGAATTTTCTGTGTATGAATTCAATTTTTTTGATAAAACCTTATTATAGAGTTTTGTCGAGATGAAGGTCTTGGTGAGATTAGCACATGCACAAAAAATTTAAGAAGTTTTCAATCATGTGTATAAGAGATATACATTTATCAGACTTCAAGCAATTTTTCATCGATATTATATAAAACATGCATATTTTGAAAGTTGCATATCTTAGAAGTTCTTGATCGAAAACTTCTGAATTGTTTTGTGCATAAGCTGGCATCACTGAGACCTACACTTGGACAAAACTTAACAATAGGATTTTATCGAAATATTGGGTCCATAGAGAGAAAATTCACTAAAAAGTCAATTTATTGATCAAATCCTAACGTTAGCACGTACTCTTCGAAACCTGTTCTAATCTATAGATTCAAATACTTTTGATTATCTTGGGATCTTCCCTTCTAAGAAGAAAGATAAAAAAAACTGGCACGTCGTTAGTTTAAACTTTCAAAGAAACATTCCTATTCCTATCATATGGAGAACACATAAATAATTTCTTCAAAGAACATGAATAACTTTTAGTTAAAATAATGCTACATAATAATCAATGCCACAAACGACTTTTTATTCTTTAATCTGTTTAATAGGATTTTATCTTCTGTTCCCTAATAAGAATTAGTTTATCATTAATGTTGCAATATAAATTTAACATATTTTTCACTTTCGAAAATGTTTAACATAAGTAAAGTTTAAGAGAGAACTTCCCCAGATATCAAGTCGCTTTTCGATCAAGATGATATTCATTTGATGAATACTAGAAAAGTCTAGAACGGTTTCGTGTTTTTGAACCTTCGTACTTTAAATATCGAAATTTAACTGAGTTTTTCAACAAAAAATTGTGACTTCTCTCCCGAGGATACGTTGTCAACTAATTAATCTCTTTCGAATTCGGACTCTGTGCATAAGGTATACCGCAGAAGATATGAAAAACGTCAAAAGAATAAGTCCTCTTAGGCCTTCTGTTCAGAGTTACAGGCATTTTACTGAAATTTTAGTCTCTGGCATTGTATATATCAACAAATCGAATGATGATATTTCGACCTGAGATTTTCCCTACAACCAAAGACAAAAGACTTATCCTTTTTAGAATTTTTTTCGTAACTCACTGGGAATCTACCTTGTGTATAGGATCTGAATTCAAAAGAAATTGATCATTTGAAAACGTTCTTTCGTCAGTTAACATGGAAAACCGACTCTCAACTTCAAAATTTGAACGAACAGACTTTTCAAGAAATTACTTCATTGGAGAATTTGGAAATCTTCTACTATTTTCAATCCTGAGATATTCAATAATTCTCTCATGTCTAAAAGCATATTTTGTTCACGTATTTACATATCCAAACAGAAAATACTGGTTGCACAATCAACTAATCTCAAAAATCAATTTTTCTATTACTCATCAAATGAATATTGTTTTGGTCGAACAACAATTTGACATCTTGAGACATTTCTTCATTAAATTTCCTTATTCACTACACTTCTCTTTATACCGATTAGAAGGGTTACTCTGACAAAATATAATGACATTTTGATGAACTCTATACCATATTCACATCAAATAAAGAATAGGGATAGAAGATAAATATTGTCATAAGTTCTTACAAATGAAAAATTATTTAAAAAGAAAAAAATATGTTGGTTCTCATAGATCTTTTATTAATATATTGGAGAAACCAAAAATGCAGACAAACAAGAAATAATGCATGTTGATATTTCTCGTTGTTGCTGTTCTTGTGTTTTTGTTGTTTACTCTTTTTCTTCAGCACGTAAACGAGCATTTGGATTTGTAACCTTGATAGCTAATTGTTGAGCACGTTCAATAATTTTTTTACGATTTGGTGCCGAAACTGTATGAGATATTTCAGCGGCAAATTTACGATTTTGCATTAATAACATTTCAAGTTCCTAATTATAAAATATTTTATATGAAAGAATAAAAATGAAACATATTATTTTTCAATTCAATTACCTTAACATTGTTAACAAGAAATGCGCGAAAACCATCTGGACGCATATGACGTGTACGCTTATCGGAACCGTAACCAATTGAAGGCATTAAATAGACACCCTTGAAGCGTCGACGGACGCGATTGTCAATACCACGTGGTTTACGCCAGCTTGGCTAGAATATTTTAAACGAAAAAAAGAGAGTTTTTTTTAGATGAATTTTCGAAAAAAAGGACATACAAGTAGACGAATGTATCGATCACTTTGATGGCGAACAAATTTCTTTGTGCGTTTTTTAAGAATTTTTCCTTTGACCAAAGGACGTAATTTGGTCGATGTCGCTGCCATCTTTTAATTATTTATGATCTAAAACAATTAAATGGTAATCATATTGTTATTTTTGATTCTTTCTATTCTTTTTTTTTTTTGCTAAAGAAATAAAATAGTATTTCGGCAATATCTGTTTTTATTTAAGCCGAAGAAATTTTTTTTGTTATCAAAAACAAATTAATGAAGATAACAAATTTTTTTTCTATGTTTATTTCTTTTTGTTTGTTTATTGTTGTTCGGCACCACCACGATTACCAGGAGGTTGACGACCTCGGCCAAAACCACCACGCTAAATAAATAGAAGAGAGTTCTTAGCAAAAAAAAAGAATATTTGAATCATCCAACTTACAAATTCAGGTCGAGCTGATCCAGCACCAACTTCACCTTGTTTGTCAAATCCACCACGACGATATTCTTGTCGACTTTGATCAGCAGATGGTGATGTTGGTCGAGCAGTTTCGACTAAAACATTTTTTAATAATCAAAAAGGTAAAATTATATTTCATGTTATTCTTACCTCGTTTAGCTGTTTTAGCACCTTCGGGACGTGTTGGTCGTTTGAGTGTTGCAGGTACAATTTCAGGTGGTAAATTGAGATATTCACGTAAGAAATTGGTACCTTCATTATTTAAATACCAATAATAATGACGCCAGGCAAATTGTTCTTTAACCAAATTACGTGATTTTAGCGACTAAAAATATAATAAAACACAGAATTTCGTTTTTTTTTTTAGATCTCGAATTTAAAGAAAAATCTAACAAACTTGAAGTGCTTTGATAACATGAATATTTGGTACTGGAATAGCCGGATGTTTATCTAGACCAAAATCTTTTTCAGCAACAACGACACCTTCTTTCATTAAATATTCGTAGATAAGAGTACGATGTTTTTTTGGCATCAACATTTTTGAGTTGTTTTTCTTTTTACTGAAATCTAATTAGATCTAAAATATAGAAGAACAAAAAAAAACAGCTGAATGTAATATCATTTATCGAAAACTAACATTATTGTTTATTAATATTGAAATAGGTTTTATTGGACAAAATAAAGTAAAAATTGGATGGTTAGATGAACATCGTAACAAGGGTTTTCATTGAAAAAATATTTTCAAATTTACATTTATCTATTTTGAGATATTTATCATGACAGTAGGTTAAAAATTATACATTAAATGTAATTCTTCTTAAAAAATTTGTATATTGATTTGATGCTAGTGACATCTATTAAAATTGTTTGATATATTTGATGTGCTAGCCTTCGCACTTGTTTGAGTCAGTATGTTTAATGATGGGTTTTTATAAAATTAAAACCATGGAAAGAAACGAAGA